GGAGATAGTTCATTGCCCACCCGTCCATTAGGTGGTGGGATGAAATGTTTTTAAACAGCGCTGAGCTGGTGGTGTGATGTCACTTCCAGCAAATACCCAGAATGCTATATGGTTTGCCCAAATTCTATAAAATTGCTTCAATGTTGTGGTGATGACATTCTATCACTGGTGCAGTGTGATTTCTCCCATGCCTGTGCCCTTCACTGGTTACTAGTAATTGGCTGGCAATGCTTAGATAGGAATTATGGGACCCGCACAGACAAAAGCAATGTGAGAGAAGGCTGCAGTGAGAAGGACAATTAAATGAAACTGAGCGAAAAAGCTTTAAAATATTTATATTCCACCTATTTACAAAACTGTAATTTACAATGTTGGCTTTAACTTAATCTAGATTATTTATTGTCCCATTCTGTTGTAAATCACCCTGAGCCCTGCCCACAGGGAAGGGCAGCTCAAAAGTCCAAATAATAAATAAAATATACTAAAATGTACAATAATCCTCCTCTCAAATTACAATAATGTCACACGGTCACCATTAAAAAAAAAAAAAGAATCATTCCAGCCACGGGAATACCACCAGGCAATGGCTGCTGGGGGCTGGAGATCTTCCGCCCCTAGCAGGCACTTGTCAACCCTAGGTGATAGATTATGTTTAAGATCCCTCCCCCATACCCATGTAGGGAAGACATCAGAAACAGTCCTTAATAAGGGAAATAACAAAATTTGCATCTTTTATAATCTGCAGGTCATGCTAGAAAGTATCTAATTTACATGAGACTACAGAGTATAATTTTACATAATTCACCATTCTGTTGCAATACATATTTATTTAGAAAATGTTATCATATCACATATTTAAGTAAAAGTGCATTTGCAGCTAGCATTCTGAACTGGGACAGCATTCCACATATCACACACACAAAGAAACCTTTGATTAGTAGTTCTTTTTTTAAAAATTCCTTAGGGATGCATTATTTCATGTATTTAAAGCTTCTAAACATGCAAATCCAAATGACGCTAAAGTGAGTTATGTACACAATTATAAAATTGTCTTTCTAAAAAGAATCATAGAGACCTGCTAATTGCAAATTGAGTCTCAGTGAGAAAGGTGGACTATAAAGAAAGTAAATAAATAAACATCAGTCAATTTAACTTTCTTAAAGAAACATGGAATTAAGTTGCAAAAAAAAATCCCACTGATGGAACTGCAGCTTCAGTAAGTCTACTAAAAGCATTTGGACAGAGAAAATTGATATGCAATATGGATCTACCTTGAGTAATGTTTTAAATTATGATTAAAAATGATGTCTCCATTCAAGAATGTGCCAGTTCAATAAACAGAAACTCAAAACAATGGATATATTGTCTTTTCGGCAAAATTATAGAATTACTTGTACTTGCTAGATCCTATGTAAGGATCTGCTAAGTGAAACATTTCAAAAAAGGTCTCATTCTGAATTTAGTAAATACACTAGGGAGGGGTAAAATTCCTTAACTCACTAAAAAGTATTTAGCTACAGGCAAACACATAAAGTGAAGAAAAGAATGGTTCTGAAAGTAATACATGCATTCCAAATATATATACATATGGTAGGACAGTTACCGGGTAGCCATTCCGCCCTGGTTGACCCTGGTTGGATGAGATGAAATGGAATGATACTCATTAGATATACATTGAATGGTGTGTGACAGTGTGCACATGCTTTTCACATGAACAGGAAACCTAATTATTGGTTCTTTACTACTGAGAAGTGGATCTTCATCATAATTTATGTGGACAGGTAGGATCTACTATCTAAATCAGGAGGTTTACAAGAAAGACAGCAGAAGATATCTTGAAACTCAATATTTCCTTCATGCAAAGTCTACAAGACATGCACTGCAGCACATTTTACTTGGAAGTAAGATCCTGAGTTCAGCATTGCTTAATTCTAACTATGTGTGCACAATACAACCCTTTGCTATTCATGAATAAGTCACTGTTCACATAATCCAATATTAGAATTATACTAAAGAATATAAACCTCCTCCTTCCAGTACTGATCCCTCAAATGTGGGATCGTGATCAGATATTCTGAAATCCCTTTAAAAATGGTGGTAGCATCCACAGATTAGACCAAAGGACACTGTCATGTCTAGTTTGGCCCTCTGCCAAACAAACATTTTAGTTATGCATCATAAACTTAAGGAAGCAGTGGCAACGATGATTTTTGTCTACAGTTAGAGAATAGGAAGAGGGAAAAGATTACTTGAAATTATTTTTCAGGAAGCAAATCTAGGGCCAAAACCACTGCAATTACTACTTTCCCCCTCCTTTTCCATATTGCAGCAGCACTTTAAAAAAACTGTTACAATATGACTTGACAGGGAAAAGCCTTTCATAGGGTAGGAGCATCTTTCCACTGAATGGAAAACTTCTCTCCTACTGAAATATACAGCTGCTGTGCCTACATCAACTTATCCCTGCTGGGCCAAGTGCATGGAAGAGCCTGTGCCCCAAACCTGTTTTAAAGAATGCAGTGAAATGAAGAATAGTCTACTAGGGCTGCCAAGCCGCGGCGGGGGTTCGGGCTGTTTCAGATGGTCCCCGGCCGCGGGGGACAGCAATACATGTTGCACCGCCGTCGCCAGGATGTGACGCTATGCGTCGCTCTGGCAACGGGGCTGTTTGGAGTCCCATTGCCAAAGCGACGCGTAGCGTCACATCCTGGCGACGGCGGTGCAACGCATATCGCTGTCCCCCACGGCAGGGATCCTGTGAAGACACACGGATCCCCCGCCGCGGCTTGGCAGCCCTAATAGTCTACAGACTGCACTGTTCCCTCTAAGCTGTGCGTGAGAGTGGCTGCTCACTAACACAGGAAGCCCTGCTCAGCAGCAATCTGAAGCCGTGCACCATTGTCCATTTTAAAGTTACAGCAGTTTGGTTTCAGATACAAAGTGGCTTTTGGGCTGTGGTTACTTAGTGAAAATAGGATTGGGCACACAGTGAATTTTGGCTTCTGTTGCCATCCTGGGTTCGGCACTGTCAATCTTTCCCCCTCCTGCCTACCAGGCTGCTATCCTGCATAACCTCACAATGTACAACTGATGTCAAAGTTTCGCTGCATCACCGTATCACTTACCAGTGGCTAAATGTGCAGATGGGGAAGCTTCTCCCAGGAAGCTTCAGCTGCTCTTGTAATAGTAATCCTCGCTGACCCTGATTGGAGGCTAGCAAAGGAAGCTGACTAACTTTCATATTAACCTTCTCCTCACAAAAAATTGAGAAAACAACTTCCTGTTTCCTTCAGTGCACCACCCACAGAGAAACATAGCCAAATACACCCACCCAAGCACCCTCTCTCTGGTCCATGCCATTCATGATGCTTGCAGCAGATACCGTATCCCTATCATGCAATGCAATTTATTTTTAATCCTATGCCACATCAAGTTTTTTACTTCCTGCAAAGACTACCTGCCAACCACATAAGAGTGTTCACATACAGAGTCTGAATTCCCAATAAAGTCCCTGGAAGATCCATTCACTCTATAGCAGTTTTCACTCCATGCAATAAACATAGGTGAACTGCACTAAATGCACTTTCCTCAACAGAAAAAGTGAGTAATCAAGAAGTAACAAATGTGAGTGCTTACTTAGGTCAGTTGTATATAAAAGCAGGAGAGGCTTTGCCGGGGAAAATGCTGGGTAGGGAGCTTACTTTCCCCCATCCATTCCCCACCCCTCCAAGTTCCATATCTCAGTATAATAAATGTGAATGGCATGCTTGAGTAAAACTACTGTGTGGTTGGAGCACAGGGAATTATGATAGCCAGGAATGCACTAGCATTGCTTTTTCCACTTAGAGATGCAGAGAGGTAGTTTCCTGTATTGCTGTGTCTTTAAGAGAACAGAGGAAGAAATGGAGTCCATCGCAAGCCAGATTTATAGCTGAAGGCAGGGAAGACATGGTGCTAGTGAGAGCCAGCTTAAGGGAAAAGCAGTCTTGTTTTTGGGCCACTCTTGCTCAGAGACTCTATAGGAGGGTAGGAGCAGCACAGGAACGCACAGGAACGGAGTTCCGGCTGGTTCCTGAGTTGGCCACGCCCAGCAGGAACTCATTAGCATAATAGGCCACACCTAACAGCAGAAACTCATTAGGATTGGCTACATTAGGGGTGTGTGGTCTAACATGCAAAGAAGTTCCTGCTACAAAAAAAGCCCAGAGTTTTGACAACAAAGTAAACAGAATAAGAAGCAAAAGGTGGTTGTGGCTGGATGACCACACTTCTGGTAACATGGGTGTGTAGCCTAATATGCTAATGAGCTGTGGTGTCATGGGTGTGGCCTAATATGCTAATGAGTTTCTGCTGTTGGGTGTGGCCTATTATGCTAATGAGTTCCTGCTGGGCTTTTTCTACAAAAAAAGTCCTGGGTAGGAGTGAAGCCTTAGCAGGAAAACAAGCCAGGATTAAGCCAGGATACTGCCTTCATGTGTAATACAAAACCAGAGATAAGATTTAACTGTGGGCAATAAAGCAACTACAGATCCTGTTCTTAAGTATCTAAAGTAACCACAGTAGTGTGGTGGTAAAGGTTTGTATGACCTATCAACTGTGGTTGCAGGATACATGTGCACCTCTCTGTCACTGGAAGGAAACTGAAGGAAACTGGTAGACCGTTGTTTGTATAAATGATGTCTCAAGACAGATGCTGACTAGCAGTAGCTAACCCCAACAAAACATATTCATTGTTCTTTTTCCAACATGCTATATTCAATGCTGATGTCAAATTTTTAGTTGTCATTTTTATTTAAATAGAGCAGCCAAACCATTTATTTAGATTTAGAAAAATTTAACATGCTAACATCAAATGGGAGTGTACCTGTTGGGTCACATGAATGGTATTTGGTACATGAATGGCATTTGGTATATTAGACAGTTCTATAAGTTAAAAAAAAAAATCTTCTACCCTATTCCTGATAACATGGAAGATCCAGTAGTATCTCTGTTGTACTTACAGGGGGTCCTGGGGGAAAAAAAGAAAAGAAAAAGAAACACATAAGTTTATGAAGGTTGAGAAATCATTCACATTCAATATCCAAATATACAGCGCCTCTCTGTTCATTCCTAATAGCAACATTCTCAGTCTGCAGATATGTTAAGGACAGGTGACCCATGTTCTTATCTGATAAAAGGGTTACCAACTGACCTGGAGAACTACATCATGTCCTTTTAGCAGAAGCTTATGGGGATGTTATCTACCTCCACACTTCAACTGCCCATTTCCACACATTATGTCTCTATTAAACGGACAGGACATTTTTCTTCAGGCCAGCTGGCAAACCTATCGAGTAATCCTGGGCTGGCAAAGCAATTATTCCTTGTAAGGTGTTCATGTCTATTGTTCATCTTCCCCCTTTTTTTTGCCATCAAGTTGCAGCTGACATATGGCGACCCTGTAGGATTTTCAAGGCAAGAAACATTCAGAAGTGGTTTCCCATTGCCTGCCTCTGTGTAGTGAGCCTGTTATTCCTTAGTGTTCTCCCATCCATGTACTAACCAGCTCTGCTTAGCTTCCAAGATCTGACGAGACTGGACCAATGTTCCCTCTAAGCTGTGAAGTCTTGTGAGCAAAAATTCTACCTTGTGAGCTACTGGCACTAAAGTTGTGAGTGAGTGATTTGGCTACTGCATAAATTAGTTTGCTCTGCAGTCATCTCTCCTGAGCTAAGACAAAAATCTGTGAGCTGGAGGCTAAAAAACTGTGAGCTAGCTCACACTAACTCAGCTTAGAGGGAACACTGGACTGGACTAGCCTGGGCTATCCAGGACAGGATGATTTCCGTTTACCCATTGGAAATTTGTCACATCCACTCTGATTGGATTTTTTTTACTCCTTTGACTGGATCTTGTTTTCATTTCTGTTCTTCCCAGTAGTGTGATACCTATTTCCAGCATTAGTTGGAATGCTGGCCTCATTTTGTACAGTAATTTCCTCTTTCTCTTTATTGTCATACATGTCCCTACCAATTGGCAACAATGCTTCATGCATCTGATGAAGTGGACTCTGACTCAGGGGAGGTTATGCCACATGAAACCTTAACTGGACTCTTTGGGCCAAACGAGATGACACTGCATCCCCGAGTCTGCCACTGGGGCACAGCACTATTTTAGAGCCTGTTTTTTATTTTTAAAACCATTTGTCTGTTTTGACTCTTGAAACTTGCACAGGAAGGGGAGAGGAGCCCCTCATCCCCCCATAACACATTCCCCAGGAAGACTGGGCCCCCACAGAGTAAAAATAAATAAATAAAGCAGGCTCTGAAATGGTGCTGTGTCCCCAAGGTGGACTTGGGGACACAGTTTCATCTAGTTTGGCCCTTTGTTTGTTTTCGGCAACAAACTAACATGGCTACTCCTTTGGAATGTGAGTTATAATTTTGCATCCCATGCCAAATAATCTCATACTGAGTGAGAAATTTTAATCATGCAAGGTACTTTTCCAGCCGTCACACATTGATTTATGGTTCTATCCAGGGTTTTTTAGACTTAAAAGTTCTGTACCACTTCTTTCTTAAATTCACAGTAACTCTACCCTTTCTTCTTTGATTGCTTGGTTTTTAACCAAGGCTTGAATCTAGATTTTCCATTCTACCTTTGCCAAGACAGCTCCATTAGTCACATAACTGCATCAGATTTTATCTCCTCCTCCTCTCAAATCCCACCTATGAAATATTCCATGTTAAAAATATCACACTTTTTGAAGCAATACTGGCACATTTTTCCAATTATTTACACTCAAAGTTCTTTGTGCAACCACTTTTGTGGGTATTATCAAAGGTCTGCAAATCACATCTAATATTTCTTTCAGGCTTATTAAGAAGAGCAGCTGTAGCTCTCAAATCAATGATTTTTCATTAGCTTTTATGCTCCCCTTTTACTTCTGACTCAAGAGAAGTGTAAAAGGGGCCTATAACAGCAGCAGCTGTCCTTGAAGTTTGCTTTAACTATTATTAGGCTTTCATTTTTAACAATGTGATTTTACTGTGTAGTTAACTGAAGTAATTTCTTGTACTGGTAAACGTTCCTAAAGATAATTTTAATGTACTGGGTCTTTAACAGAAAGCAAATTAATTTCCTTTGTTAATAATGCCATGTGTTTATGACAAGTGAACAGAACAGCTTTGAAGGCTACTGAAATTTTATGTCTGAATAGCATTGATTGTAGTTCTTTTCACTGTCAATTTAACCACATTTGCTATAGCTACATACAAATATTTTGATTACTAGTAAAGTACTACAAATTAATTTGAAGTTGTATGCCAAGGATTACAATGCCTTCCCCTTGAACATTTTCTACTCTTTCATTTATTATTCTCTGAAACCAGTATGCATTTTGTTGGCTAGTTAAGTAAAAGAATAAAGGCACTCATGAGTCAAACCATCAGCAAGCACATTTTCACCAAATGAATCAGATGCTGCCAGAAACACAAACACAGAAAACTTACCAATCTCTCCTCTTCTTCCTCGCTTACCTCGTTTACCAGGAGGACCTGAAAAGCAAACAGTTCCAGTTTTGTAATTGTGCCATTCAATTAAAATTCTTCTGACTTCTAACTGCCATTGAGTCAAAATAACAGCAAACAGGACAACAGAGGGAGCAAGCAACACCTTCTTTTCTTCTAACAGTCTTTTCAGATAGCGACCTCCCCACCTGCAAAAGAATACCCAAAATACCGAGAAAGCATTTGACAAAAATCAATCGGTCATGGGATTCTATTTTGTTTGTTTGTTTGTTAAAAATGACATAGAAAATGAAATTTGCCAGGAGTTATTCAATTACCAGACGACCTAATAACTATGTTCCAAGAGGGTATGTGATGACTGGCTGAGGAGAAGTATGGTTGAGCATGCAGTGTCTGGTGCGAACAACTGGTTATCACAGATTTTAGAAATATCTGAATTTTCAGAAGAAGAATAGATTGTGTTGCTAACTCCCTAAAAGGGCTTGTATCTTGAATGGAGGACCAGCAGCATTGGATCTGCAACAATTTCATTCTCAGCCAAGAACCTTTCAATGTGTATTTGTTACATTTCAGAAGTGCCTGAGGTAGTCCTAAGGTCAAATCCCCACAGCTATGGTTTAAACTGACAAATTCACAGTAAAGTGAAAGTTCATTTATGTCATGGGCAAAAGCATTTAAAGTGGTCCATCTTGTAAGGTGCTGAACTTTGGATTTTACATGATCTAAAGTAGGGATCTGCACTTGTATAATCACAGTCCATGATTTTCCTGTTTTCCTCTTTCTTTTAAGCAGCAGTACTAAAGGGTCAGGAGCTGCGGTGGCTCAAGTGGTTAAGACGCTGAACTGCAGGCTGGAAGGTCGGTAGTTCAGCAGTTCGAGACCTGAGTGCCGCATGATGGAGTGAGCTTCCATCTCTGGTTCCAGCTCCTGCCAACCTACCAGTTCGGCAAGAAATTGCAAATAGATAAAAGGGTACCACTTTGGTGGGAAGGAAACAGCGTTCTGTGTGCCTTGGCATTTAGTCATGCTGACCACATGACCACGGAAACGTCTTCGAACAGTGCTGGCTCTTCAGCTTGGAAATGGAGATGAGCACTGCAACCCTAGAGTTGGATTCAACTGGCTTTCGAGCAAGGGAAACCTTTACCTTTACCTTTTTTACTAAAGGGTCAATTCCAGGTAGGCTTCCTTACGTGCGGATTACTCTTAGGTGTCATGGAATTTGTCATTGAAAAGGTCCCTGTATATTTTTCCTCCACTGATGTGGGATGCTCTCTTGATATGTTTGCAAAAGAATCTGGTATCACCGTGTTATAAGTGCTTTTAATTTATATGTACACATGAAGCTGCCTTATGCCTCATCAGAACCTTGGTCCATCAAAGTCAGTATTGCCTACTCAGAATATCGGTGGCTCTTCAGGATCTCAAGCTGAAGTCTTCAACATCACCTACTGCCTGGTCCTTTTTAACTGGAGTTACTGGGGGTTGAACCCAGGGCCTTCTGCATATCAAACAGATGCTCTACCTCTGAGCCATGGCCAGGAATCTCATGTGTTGTCACAGGTGTACAATGGCTGTCCATTCAGGAATCTTGGATGGGACAACTGCATTGTACATAAGGGACTAATGTAAAATTTGTGTTCACTATAGTCAGCACATTCTTTTCCTAGTTAATATTTTACCAATAAGAAGCTCTTAAGAGAAATGTGCTTGCTTAAAATGTCATATTCAATTTTCAAGTCTGTAAAAAGAATGTAACTTTTCCTCAGTGGAACAAACTAGTGTCATAAAGATTAATGACACCAAGTTATACACAGTAAGTTAAGCCTGCTCACAGTAGCTAAACTCAATGGCTAACCAACTTTATGGCATTTTAAGTAGAATATTGACTCTTGCTGAGAGTTTCCTTGCTGCAGTAGGGAGATATTTTAAACAAGCTGTTAGTGATAGAAAGTATTTATTAATCTAATTCCAGAAAGCATATCTATTAATTCAGATTTTTATCCCTTGCTGTCTTAAATGCTCCTAACAAGTTCCACTATATTTAAAACTAAGCTTTGAATATAATAACAAAATACATCAATCAGCTAATATCTCAGCATTTATTTTATTTATTTATTTTTGCACCACTTCTAAGCTGAGCTCTCAGCCAAGCATGGTTAATGCCAGTCTAATTGTGTCACTAAAAGTCACCTCAAATGGGAATTTCATTATGGTAGTACAGTTACTGCCCTGACCTGGAAAGGCCAGGCTAGCCTGATCTCATCAGATCTCGGAAGCTAAGCAGGGTCAGCCGTGGCTACTATTTGAATGGGAGGCCTCCAAGGAATACCAGGATCATGACGTGGAGGCAGGAAATGGCAAACCACCTCTGAATGTCTCTTGCCTTGAAAACTCTACATGAGTCAGCTGTGACTTCACAACAAAACAAAACAAAAGCACAGTTACTAAGAATATTCGTTAATATGACTAATTAACAGTAATACTTCTTTTTCAAATAGTTTTAGAATATTTACTGTATTTGCTTAAATGCAAGTCTAGTTGTCTTACATTCTCAATGAAATTACAGTTGTCCACTAATAATATAATTTTGTTTGTGTATAACATTTTAGGGAGGTCATCTTATATTCACGTTTGTCTTCCTTTTGAGCAAATACAGTATTAAAAGAAAACATTTAACCTAAATCTCGAGAACAAGAATAATTTTACAACTGCATAAAATCTGGTTCTCAGCTGAATATATTCCCCAATCTTTTCAAGGATTAGAAGAAGGTGGTACAGGAAATTACAGGAGATTTAGTCTAATGTCGGTTCCGGGTAAAAAGTAGAAAGATAGCACTAAAGATAGGATCATTCTTTTAAAAAGTAGCCTTATTAAGCACACTGAGGAACAAAGTTTGCGGAGGAAAAATCAGTGTAGCCTCAGCAAAAAGGAAACCCTTCCTCACCAGCCTTCAGGAACTGGGGGTGAGCAACGTAATGGCCAAGTTTGTGGACGGTACCAAATTATTCATGATGGGAAAAACAAAAGTGGATTCTGAAGAACTTCAAGTGGATCGCTCAAAACTGAGCAGGCAGACAACAACATGGCAAATGAAGGTCAGTGTAGGTAAGTGCCAGGTAATACAGACTGGAACAAAAAAAGATCTAACTTAAAATATCAGCAGATGGAGTCTAAATTGGCAGAGACTGAGAAGGAAAGAGGTCTTGGAGTTATAATGGAGAGCTCAACACTGCATGGCAGTGGTGAAAAAAAGGCAAACTCCCTGCTGGGAATTATTAGGAAATGAAAATAAAATAAAATGGGCAATATTTAAATGCCCTTGTATAGTCCAGCCTCACTTGGAATAATATGCACAATTCTAGTCACTCTTATGTATAAATAAAAATAAATAAAAAGTATAGAAGAGGGCAACAACCAAGGGGTTGGAGCACTTTTTCCTATGAGGAAAGGATAAAGAGTTTGGGACTTTACCCTCCCCCCCCCAAAAAAAACCCAACAACAACTAAAGAGGACATTATAGAAGTTTATAAAATTATTCATGGGGTGTAGAAAGTAGACAAATAGAACTTTTTATCCCTCTCCTATGTCTTATGAATTGTTAAGAATTATAAAGTGAAATCTTCAGTTCTCTCTGACCTAAATGAGCATTTTCAAAAAGAGGAATTTCTAATTCTTAATCGAGCATAATTTTGCACTTTTAAAAGTCATTGATTTACACATCACAGGTTTAACTCTCCCTTTAAAAACTATCTCAAACTATTATAATTTCTTTTATCTGTAAACCTATCATTTGAAGGAGAAGCTAATGAGACATTTCAATTGGTGGGGTCATTGAAATGAATATAAGAATAGAGAATATAAAGCATGAGTATATTTGTTGGCTGCGTATGACAGGGGCGTAGACTTTCCAATTTCCCGGGGGGGGCTGGGGCTGGGCACAAGACCTCCTAACAATGGACAATATAATCTTCCCCAGACGGGGAAGCGCAGCATCGGCAGCCGGGCGAGCCAGGCAGGGTGCTGCAGCAGCAGCAGGCGGAGAGGGGAGGGGGGAGGCGGAGGAGCAGGAGGCGGCGCTGCGGAGAAAGCCGCGTGGGATGGATGGGCGGGCGGGGGGACGGAGCTGCCGGCTGCAAAGCGCCTGGATGTGGGGAGAGGGGGAAGGAGGAGGAGGTGGAAGCGAGCCTCCCCCCCCGCGGGCGGGTGCGCTCGGCCGAGGCCGCCGCCGCGCCTCCGGGGCCGTTTCCTCCTCCTCCTCCCGGAGCCCCTGGGCCCGTCCTTACCCTCTGCTGGGCCCGCCCCTCCGCAAGCAAGTTTGAACTGCAAGGCGGGAGGGGGCGGAGAAACCCAGCCAGCCGGTTCGCCCGAGCCTCTCGGCACATGCGCCGGCGCACTCTGCCGAGCAGAGAGACTCTGCTGGGCCCCGACGGGAGGGGCGTTCGCGCCAGCCCTCCTGCCCCAGTCCGGGGGGGGGGCGCTGGAACTGCCCAGGAAGATTCCCATGTTCGGTCGAACTGTGCCCGGTTGGATTGGGGACGCTGGCGATCTCGTGTCCGGGAGGGGCTCAGCAGTGTGCTCGGGTCGTTCGTTGCCTGCTTGACGCTCTCGCCAGGCCAGCCTGGCTCAGGAGGCAGCGAAGCGCCGCGCCCTTCCCACGCCCCACCTGCTCCTCTCTGCTGGGCGGCGATGACTGGTTCGAGTCCGGGGGGGCGGACGCGGATGGTGCCAGACGCTCGCAGCTCGGGCCATACTTTGCTTGCTGGGCCGGTCCTGCCGCTCAGCTCCGGTGGCCTCCGAGCTGCGGGACAGCGAAGGTGAAGCCAGGGCAGCGGCGGTGGCAGCAGCCACCGCCTAGCTGCAGGCAACCCCCACACACACATGTGTTCCCACGGAGGCCGCAGGGCCGCTCTCGGCAGGGCTGGGGCCGGGCGGCTTTCTTCGTGGGGTGGGCGGGGCTTCTGCGGAAATTTCGGGGGGGCGCAAGCCCCTCAGCCCCCCCGCAGATTACGCCGGTGGCGTATGA